TTTTTAAGTATTTCGAGGTTTAGGTCCTGTATTAAGTCATCTATTTTGAAATTATGTTTGATTTTTTTATTTTCAATGATTCTGCTATGAGCTACATAGACAACCGTAATTGAAAGTAATTTTTACCAGTAGACAAAGCGCCCTCTGTAGAAGGAAGGTATATATATTTTTTTCAATCTGAAATCCTTTTTTTAAAACTTCTTAACATACACAATGACATGTAAAAACTTTCGATCAATTATATTTTAAAACTTATGAGCAAAAAATTTTTTAAAATCATCCGATTTTAGTGCTAAAAAGTTACAAGACCCCTTTAGTGTAAAGCCCCGCCACCACGGCAAGGTCCACCGAACATATCCTTCTTTTAAAAATTCATTTATTCATTTTTAAAAATAATCAATTTTTGAATTTTTTAAAAAATTTATAAACGAGTGAAAAGTTTTGAAAAAAACCTTTGGAAAATATGCAGGCCAAAAATTTTTTTCATGCATAAAACAAAGAAATATTTTTCCTACCACTCCACATTATATGAATTTAAATTCAAAATAGCATGTATATATATATATATTTTTATTTATTGGTTTATACACCTGTCTTCAGCCTTACATACTTGGCTATACCAGTGTTTATACATTTTCGTAAATTTTCTCTTACAAATTTTCCCTGAAAAACTTTAATACTAAATTTTGCGCCTACAGAGCGACTTGAAAATTAGGAGTACTCGCATTCGCCTGGACCACCCGTCTAATTGGTTTTCTCGACAGTGGAGAGGGAAAATGTAGAAAACCTCTCCTGAGTACAACCGGTTTATCGACATTCCAGTTCTAATGGTGTGTACCGGACAATAATCAACGGTGCACATCATTACACCTTGACGTCAAAGGGGCCGTCCATAAATTACGTAAGACACTTTTTTGGAAAATTTGACCACCCACTCCCCTTTGTAAGATTTTTTTACATACATTAGCGCCATTTTTTCTACGGTTCGTAAGATTTAGCAGACCCACCCCTCCCCCCAAAATGTCTTACGTAATTTATGGACGACCCCAAACCTACCGCTCAGATTATCTCACATGCCGGAAAAATACCAAGCCAAATGGGCGCGAACCAAGGGTACTTACCCTTGGTCCTTAAACGACCGCCAAGCGAGGCATATCTTTATGTTATTTCTGCCGTGTGATATAAAAACTTAGTTAACTGACATTTTTGTGAAAAATGAGTTTTTGGTATCAATGAACTCGTAAGAAAAAACTGCGTCTAATAGTTATAGTTTACATTTTCTTTGCAAATTATTGTTTGTAAAAAATTAATATTAAAAATCTAAGAAATTGCAGAAAATGAAAGAATATTTGATAAAAAGTTAAGGAAAGTACTTTGCGTAGTCCAAAAAACAAACAAGGCTACGAGCTCGAATGTAAGATTTGAAGGAAAAACTTAGTTAAAGGCATTTGTGTGTTTTTGTATCAAATAAGTAGTCGAGTCCTAGCGTTGGATTTGAAATAAAAACTTTGCATCTGCAACGCTTGCAATTACCTAAGTTCTTCCATCAAAAAGTCAGTCGAGACAGAGCCGAACGACTACTTAACTGCATTCGGCTAAACTCGGTTTGTCCTTGGGTCGCAAGCAGCCGTCCCCTTACCACATGACGTCACTGTCAGTTAGGTAAGTTTTTACATCAAATCAGAGGACCGCGCTCGAGTACCTTTTTGTTGAGCACTACGCAAAGGACTTTACCTAACTTTCGCTAATTCGGAAAAACACGCAAGTGCATTTTTCCATATAATTTGTTTTAATAATTAATTTTTTATTTCATAATTAAATAGAGCACCATCATTATACCCAGAATGTGAAATTAAATTGAACAATTTTTGAATTTTTATTAGGGTTCTGAAAGCAAACAGTTTTTCCTTATTTTCTCGTTTCGATATAAATTTTAGTTAACTAAGTTTTTATTTCAAACGGCAGATTTGACCGCAGGAGTTCAAAAATGACATTTTATTTATTTATTTATTTATTTATTTAGATATAAGCTCCTAGGGCTAATAAGCCCTTCAAGGAACAAGATACAAATTAATTTCAATTACAAATTAAGGAAATTAACTTATAATTAAAGAAATTGCACTTAAAAATTTAAAATATAAAAATTGTATAACATATAGTAATTAAATCACGGCCAACCATGCTTGAATATAAAATAAGCAGTGGTATATCGCAGACAAGAAGTTTTCAACTCTATATCAAAGTAATGAAGAAAAATAATAAATTAATTATGTAAATATGTATATATGTTTCGGCTTCTCAACAATAGTGTCCCTACCAGTAGGTAACATCAAATAATGTGTTGTTGGTTCTAAATAATAAATCAAAAAATATTCTCTTAAAAATACATAACTTTGACGCATCTCTTATTGTAGAAGGGAGTTTATTCCACAGTCTAGAACCTCTGACTATAAATGACCTCTGCATCTTACAAGTTCTATGGGATGGAATTTTGAGAACAGATCCTCTCTCACGGAGTCTATAAAGGTCCGGATTATTATTAATTTTAAACTCAAAAAAGTCAAAAAGATAAGAGGGAACCTTATTTTGAAATATATTATAAAGTAAGTTACCCATGAAAAACTGTCTCCTCCCAGCAACATTTAGAAGTTTCAATTTAGACCTATATTGTGAGATATGTTCGTACTTTGGTAGATCAAAAACAAAACGAATGCAAGCATTTAAGGCTCTTTCAAGTTTATAGTTTAATTCATTCGTAATATCGTCATAAGCCACACAACAATAATCAAAAAAGGGCAAGATCAAAGTTTTTACTAATAGAGTGCGAGTTGAGGTTGGAAGAGAACCCTTGTTTCTATTTAGTTGTTGAAGAACCCTGAATGTCTTACGTGATATCCCAGAAATATGATCCCCCCATGAGAGGGTTGAATCCAATGTCAGACCAAGATCCCTAACAGTTTTACTAAATGTAATAGGTGACCCTTCAACCTTAAGTGGAGTGAGAGATGATAACGAATCCAAAGAGTAATTAGCTGAAGAAAAAACCATGGCTTGCGTCTTATCCGGATTAAGGCGTAGTCCGTTTCTGTTAGCCCACTGTTCCACAATCTTAATGTCAATTTGAATATGTTGTAATAAATTTGAAATATCAGAAAGAGGACCAGAAAGATAAAGTTTAAAATCGTCTGCGTATTTATGAAATTTACAATACTTAAAATCTTTTCCAAGATCAGAAACAAATAAATTAAATAAAAGAGAAGAAAGTGATGCACCCTGAGGGACCCCACACTTAAGTTCATCCCAATCAGAGATATTGCCATTAGCATCTATAACTCTTTGAGATCTAAACGTGAGATAAGACGCAAACCATCGGCAAACAGAGTTAGACATGTTAAATGAAGCTAGCTTATTAATCAATAACTGATAGTCAACGGAAGGGAATGCCTTAGAAAAATCAAAGAAGACAACAACAGTAATATGTTTAGCATCAATGGCAAGTTTGATGTCGGATGTAAATTTCAATGCAACTGTGCATGTGCTATGCTTTTCCCGAAAACCAGATTGAAGCGGCTCAAATAAATTATTTTTTGTTAAAAATGTGGTTATCTGTTTACATGCAAGGCGCTCCAATGGCTTCGAAATGGCACAGATTATAGATATTGGTCTGAGATCAGAAAGACTCCTCGGATTCGTCACCTTGGGAACCGGTCTGACATTACTCATTTTCCAAATATCAGGAAAGAACCCAGTCTGGAGGGAGCAATTGTAGATATGCAAAAGTACCGGAAATATTATGGGAAGAGACAGCTTTATCATTTTAATAGAAATATAATCAGGTCCCATAGCATTTGTCTTTATGTATTGAATGTTCTCGAGTAAAGCATCAGGTGAAATATCAGTGAAAAAAAACTTGTTCTCATCAAAATTATCAGGATGATTTGTAGTAGGTATAGTAAGAGGAGAGGGGATTAATATTGGTGTGGATGAAAATACTTCTAAAAGTTCATGTGTTTGAAAAGAATAATCAGTCGATCCTTTTTTATTCGAGATAAGATTCAATTTTTTCAAAATACGCCAAATATCATCAGATTTACTTTTATTTTTAATTATATTATAGTTATATTTATTATAGGCGTCTCTGATTTTTGTTTTAACTAAATTTCGAATTTTTTTAAACTGAAGTTGATCAGACTGATTTCTAGTTCTTTTAAAAATATTTCGTAATTTATTGCGCTTTTTAATAAGAATTTTAATTTCTTCATTCATCCAAGGAGAAAATCTTTTTTTGATATTAGATAAATGCAGAGGTGCAAAGACGTCAAACGCAGAAGTAATATAAGATGTTAGTTTATAAACTTTGACATTAATATCTGATTCAGAATAAATACTATGCCAATCATAATTCGCTAAATGTGACAAGAATTCAGTTTCAGGTAAATTTCGTAAATTGCGAACAAGATTTGTTTGACGTATAATACGTGGCTGACTACCAAGAAATTCGAATTTTACGTTTATTAGATCATGATTAGAAAGAAAAGGCACGGCGTGTTGATGAGATGAAAGAACTTTATCTAAGCTGTCTACAAAGATTATATCAATACAAGTACTTGAGGTGTTTACATGGTGTGTTGAGCTATGAGGGACAACACACATTCCCGCCGAATAAAACATAGATGTTAAGTAAGAGGTAATTGAAGAAGGGATATTTAAGTTGCAATTAAAATCACCTAAGATTATGATATTATTAAAATACTGAATCAATGAATAAATCTGGGATTCTAGTTCGGTACCAAAAGACGCATTTGGGGGTTTATACACAACTCCCACTAACGCACTGTCATATTGCGACTGAATTTTAACAAACAAAAATTCAGCGGAAGGGTACGGTCCCTCAAATCTCACAGATACTAGAGAACAAGTAAAATGTAATTCCGTATGTGTTGTAACGCCATTTCTAACCACGTGTTGAATTGAAAATTCTACCACAAGGCGTTACAAAAATGGCTGCACAATTGACTTATAAGTCCCACACTTCGGACTTATCTAATAAAACCACATCTCCGGTAATCCGTTAGAGGTTATCCTCAGCGCCAGGTAAAGATTTTTACCCGGATTCTCGGCGGCCGTCTCAAACAATGAATCTTTCCCGGACTAGCTCGATTTCCCGCAAATTCACTTGAGACAATTTCGACTTTATTCTATTTTAACAGGGACGTAGGTGACCTGCGCAATGTGAGAGGCCCCCGAAACTCGGCAACCATGAGAACTTCCGTGTTGAAATATGGTAATTCTCGGCTTGATAAATGTTAATTATAATTTATAATTGCAATATAATTAAGATGGCGGTGACCAAATCCGGACCTCGGACGATGAGATTCTCTTATTCTCCCGACTGATCATTTCGTTGATAATTATAACATTTATTATATTGTATAGAAATGTGGGTTTCTCTTTGCCGCGAGAAATACAAAATAATTCATCTCAATTTGTCGTCAACAATAATTTTTCCATTATCTCCTTTATCTTCTGTACAATACAATATTTTACATTTCTCTTTTAATTTATATATTTTTAATTAAAAGAACAATTACAATAATATATAAAAAATATATAAGAAATACAATGCTTATTCCCTTTTGATAATAGAAATTTAAGGAAAAGTTAGTGAGTTCGGGTCTGGCTAACTATGTTTGTGCTTAACCCGAAACAACGACAATTAAATAAATACTTTTTATTACTTTATAAAATTTTAGGTTTCGGCGAAATCGCCTAGGAATTATTTTATAAACGGGATAACTTCATTATCACGTTACAGTGTGTGTGTGAGAACATCACATTTTCATAAATATCTCGAAATCATGAAGAGCTTATGGGTTACATTTTTTTTAAATTGTAGATCTCATCTGCAGACATAAAATGAGAGTACTTTGTGCCATCACTTTTTCAATCATATCTCGGAAATACAAGGAGATACAAAAAAACTTTAATACGGTTAGAAAGCTGATTAAATTTTGCGTAAAATAAGCCGTCTTTGAAGTCATTTCGTTAACTATTTGTTGAGTTGCAGAGTGGGAAAGAAATAAAAAAATGATAAAATTTTCTCATTTTTGTCTCTTGACTTCAACTTTTTCAAAAATCAAGAAAAATTTAAATAAAATTTTTCTAACACAGAAATCTTTGTTAGAATTTCAGCTTTAAAATATGCCTTCAAAAATTAAAAAAGGTTAATCCGTCTTCGATATATCATTAAAAATGTGAAGCCGTGTTTCGACAGTTTGGTGCATTTAAATTCAACTGTGACGACTCGACTCTGGCTTCGCGCGGCAGCAAATGAGAGAGAAAATAGGGACGGATTCATGCTCGAGAATAATAAATAATAATGTTTCACGAGTAATATAAAGAAACTCGAAAGTTCATCGTTCCCCCGCATGAATTAGTTCCTGTTTTCTCTCTCATTTGCTGCCGCGCGAAGCCAGAATCGAGTCGTCACAGTTGAATTTCAATGCACCAATCGGTCGAAACACGGCTTCACATTTTTAATGATATATCGAAGACAGATTAACCTTTTTTAATTTTCGAAGGCATATTTGAAAGCTGAAATTCTAACGAAGATTCCTGTGTTTTTAGAAAAATTTTATTTTAATTTTTCTTAATTTTTGAAAAAGTTGAAGTCAAGAGACAAAAATGAGAAAATTTCATCATTTTTTTTATTTCTTTCTCACTCTACAACTCAACAAATAGTTAACGAAATGACTTCAAAGATGGCTTATTTTACGCAAAATTTAATCAGCTTTCTAACCGTATTAAAGTTTTTTATCTCCTTTTATTTCCGAGATATGATTGAAAAAGTGATGGCATGTTTTTTCATAGAGTCGAATGTAATCGTCCTGATACTCGTGGACGGTAATGTAACTTTAAAATTATCGTTACCAGTTTGTAGAGCATTAAAAACACTTCAAATGACCTATTTTTGAACCTAATACGATAATAAATTTCGAAATTATTGGTATTTTAAAAACCAAAAATTGTGTAAAATGACATTTTCTCAAGTTTTTTGTTTGGAAATTTTTGTTTAACTATTAAACTATTATAACTATCTTGTAGGGTATTTAAAAAGACATTGATAGACCGAAGATTCAATTACTTTTACCATATTTATAAAAAGTTATTCAAGTATTTCTATTATTATTATCCCTATGAGGAAGCAAAGTGTTCATGAAATGAGCACCAAAATTATAAAAAAAATATACAACTTGGCAGCAGTTATATATATGGGGCAAAATTCCTCAACTGGCCAGGTCAAAAAATGAATTTTCTCTAAACTTTGCTAAAATGTTACTATTATTAGGGGAGAGTGGTCCTAAGTTGTCCGCCTAAGCAAATTGGTCGAAAATAGTAACAAAATGAAATTTAATCACTTCGGCAAGTATATATTAGTGTTCAGAGATCGTTTTGCTATAATTTTGTGGTATTTAGAACGTTATAGAATAGCTTTTGTAGTCTTAATACAATAAATAGTGAAAAGCTGCATTTTGGACATTTCAGAAATAGCGGTCCTAAGTTGGCCACCACTTTTTTTCGCTTGTGTATAAGGAAGAAATGCATATTCTTTTCAATTACGCAGAAATTTTACAACGTAGAGTGTTTTCAGGACAGGCGTCTTTGTACTATGTTTTTTCTAATGTTTTTTAAACCATTTTTTTGTTTTTTGTCTTTGTTTAATTCCTACGTTACACTTTTACGGTCTTTCTCGTGATGAAAAACACAAAAAAGAAATAAAACATAAATAAAAACAAACAAAAACAATAGGTGGCCAACTTAGGACCACTGTAGATTTTTACAAGTTTCAAATTATTACGCTAATAAAAAAATTTAATTAAAAAATCAACAGAACCTCTTATTACAACATTAAATAAAGGAACTAGCGCACACGCTCATTTAGAAATGTTTAATTATTTATCTCTTGTAGCTGCTCTCGAAAAAACAAGAAAAATTAAATTTTTGTGGTCGTTAACAATATTATTGTCCTCAAAATGCGTACAAGAATCTTAGATTATAATTAGGTCCATAAGTTATATCATGGTTTATCAATACATCATACCACAAAATTATAGATTCGTCCAGTATACCATCTCTGAGTAATGCAGGGTGGCCAACTTAGGACCACTCTCCCCTAGTAGAAGTGTAAATATAAATTTTTTTTGAATTTGATAAAATATTTTTTGAGTTATGGAGTTTCAAAATTTTGTTTTTTTAAAATATCTTTTTTTCGATTTAATATATTGATATGTAAAATTAATCAAATTTAAAGTATGAATAGTGATTTTTAAAGGGGTTTTCACGGGCTATAAGCTGGTGATGAAAAAAATAGTTTTCTTTCAATTTGACCTTGAAATTCAAGGTCAAATTCTTAATTTCAATATATCTCAAAATCAATGTTTTTTATTTTTTTTCTTACCTATCCCAATCAAAAGCTTACCTTTTTTCCTATGAGCCATGTAAAAATCAGAGTGAGACCATGGAACTTTTTGAAGAAATTAAATATAAATCATCATTTTCTATGTAAAATAATGATAAATTATTATTTTCCTCAAAAATTTTCATGGTCCCACTCTGATTTTTACATAGCTTATAGGAAAAAAGGTAAGCTTTCGATTGGGATAGGTTAGAAAAAAATAAAAAACATCGATTTTGAGATATATTGAAATTAAGAGTTTGACCTTAAATTTCAAGGTCAAATTGACAGAAAACAACTTTTTTTCATCACCAGCTTATAGCCCGTAAAAAACCCTATACACGGAAAAAAAAAGTACGTGAAATTTTCATTGACTCGGTACTTGACTTTTGGATACGACACAAAATACTGAAAACAGTCTTGTACTTTTGCATGAGAGTTTTAAAAGCAGTCAATGAAAATTTCTAGTACCTTGCTTGAGAATTTCATTGACTTTCAAAAAAATTGTAAAATAAAAAAAATAATTTCCACTTGTTCACACCGTTTTTCTGAAATTCACTCATTCATTCACATATTTGGATAATTAATCACACAAACAAAGAACAATTATTGTATCACTTTTCGACGTTCGTCAACACTTATGAACTAACCTATAACACATACATATATTCGCGTATAACTTAAATATAAACACACACTTAACACTTAAAAGTACGTATCGGATTGTTCTTATATACCACATGGTGAAATTTTTCACGACTTCTGAGACATGCTATTTCACTGAAAACTGAGACTTACATAACATTCTGTTTTGTGAGAAACGCAAAATAAAAAATATTTTTTTGAAAGTCAATTCTTGAAGACAAATATATATTAACACTATTTGTTTTTCATAAAATAATAGTATATTCACATCTGAAATTAACACAAACGGAAACAGACGATCAGCTGGCATTTACCTTGGGTAGAAACGCGCAACGCACACTGCGCATGCTCTACAGAATTTTTAAGCGCAGTCAACTAATCTTTCACGTACTTTATAAAACTGAACAAATGACTTTTCGTTAAAATTTAAAAAACACTGTTGCCCATACTAGTACTAGAATAACTCTAGGACTTTTCTATATTTTCTAATAAAAAGTATATGATACAGCCTTGTATTTTGTGTCCTATCCAAAAGTCAAGCACTTTCAAGGAAGGATTCACGTACTTTTTTTTCCGTGTAGAGATCACTATTCATACTTTAAATTTGATTAATTTAAATTATCAATATATTAAATCGAAAAAAATATATTTTCAAAAAAATTAAAATTTTGAAACTCTATAACTCAACAAATATTTTATCAAATTAAAAAAAAATTATATTTACACTTCTACTAATATTAGTAACATTTTAGGAAAGTTTAGAGAAAATTCATTTTTTGACCTGGCCAGTTGAGGAATTTTGACCCATATGAGGCATTTTACGTGAAATGTTCTAAGTTGAAATTTCAACTTCTTGAAAAACATTGAAACTCAGGGAATTTGTTGTTCTATCAAGTAGAAATGTGCCCAAAAAAATATTTTTGATTTTTTCAAAAGTTTGGAGGGGGTAGAGAGGGGTCAATT